TAAAAAAGTCATAGGTTAGCATGTCGTTTAAAATGTGATAAAAAAGTCATAGGTTAGCATGTCGTTTAAAATGTGATAAAAAAGTCATAGGTTAGTATGTCATTTAAAATATGATAAAAAAGTCATAGGTTAGCATGTCGTCCGAAATTCGGTAAAAAAGTCATAGGTTAGTATGTCGTCCAAAATATGATAAAAAAGTCATAGGTTAGCATGTCGTTTAAAATATGATGAAAAAGTCATAGGTTAGCATGTCGTCCGAAATTCTGTATAGTAAGATATAAATATGTCTGAGCAGAATCAATCACACATTCAATTGTATAAAAACTTCACAAAATGTCATAATAAAGTAAAGAAAAAAACTTACCAATAAAACAAAATGCGATTGAAGAAAAAAATAAAATGTCACAGTAAATAGCTAAAAAATATATCAAAAACTAGCATTGCTGTATATGTCATGCAACGGTAGGACGTAAAAATGTCAGTTTATGAACGTGAAAGATCCGTAAAAGATGCTATAATAAAGCAAACAGAAAGCCATCGTAGCCAAACTAAAGTCTCCCTGTATAGCTAAGAAATGTTTTTAGATTATTATAAGTTTTGTGATTTTAGTGATATTCTGTCAACGTGCACAAAATGAGACTATTTGACATAGAACCAGTTAAAAAAGTCTTTATTTCTCTTTTTGCATTTTGAGGTTCCTGGTCATATTCATATTATATGAGATATGATAGAATTAAATTCAATATAAACGACGGCTCGTCACAAACTGCTTCTTAAGATTCAACTCAAAATTTAAATATATAAATACATTTCATTTGGATCTTGTAACTTTACGTTGGAATTAAATTTAGTCAAGATTAACATTTGATATTTTTCAGTTCTACCGAGCAAATCAGATCAACATCTGGATTTAGAGTTACTCCAGATCAGGCATGTCATCGTATCCTTCGGTTGCCTCCTGCCTCTTCCGCTCCGCCTCCTCCTCCTCTTTCCTCCTCTCCTCCGATGCCCTCTTCATCTCCTCCTCCACCTCCTTCCTCTGCACCTCTTCCTCTTTCTTCTTCTGCTCGTCTTTGTCCTTATTCTTTTTATTCTCCGGCGTGTCGTAGGCCCACTCTTCGTCCGAGTCGCTGATGTCGTCGTCGGAGATGTCCCAGTCGGGCCGGTGGGACTCGTCCGTTTCGGCCATGTTCTCCACGGGCTCCGGCTCAGGTTTATGGTTGGGGTCCTCCAGTTTGCCCCAGGACACCTGGTCGGCCTTACGCAGGAAAACCTCAACTTTGGTCGGCACCATGTTGACGGAGCTCTGTTTGACGTCGATCACCTTAGGACGGTGGGAGAGGACAGTGTTCTCATGTTTGATCGGAGACAAAAAGTAGAAACTCAACATTTTGTTCTTTGGAAACCAGAAGTAACAACAACCGGCATCCTACACCTGCTCTCATTGGACAGACCTAGCTGTCAATCACATGGTAGCTAGGTCAACACACGTGGTGCATTATGGTCTGTTTGATTCTTAAATGAACATTGTGATGTGTTGAAGACCACAGACTGAAACTCCTTCGTTATAAAGTGGAGTCGCCCCCTGCTGGTCATTCAAGAGAAGTCCCTGAACCCGGTGAAAACACGTGTATAGCTGGATTGATTAAGCTCCTCCCTTCGACGGACATTTCTCCCTGTTGGAATACTCACCCCCCACAGGTGGAAGTCTCTCTTGAAAATCTTATCGTTCTCAAACTGGATTTGACACGAGAGCTGCGGAAAAAGATGGAGAGAATTTATCGTTAACGATAATCAGAGAGAAACTTCCCGTCAAGAATCAAGACATTTATGACTGAAACATTCAAACTGATAAAAAAAATCTAAAGCGTCATTAAGTTATTGTTTCACCATTCGTTCACGTCACACTCACCACGGTCCCGTTCGCCTCCACGCAGCTAAACTCAGGGTTTGCGTTCTTAGCGTAAATCGTTACGACAACATTATTTCCAGTTTGGTGCCAATCGTGTCGACACGCCACCTTCTTCTTGTCCTGCAGACACACAGACGCACAAACTCTAAACACAAACCAGGTTCTACAACATTCTGATCTTGTGTGTTTTTAAGAGCATAATTAGAAATTACTTCATTTATCAAGTCTAATTTTAATTACAGACACAGAACAATAGTAAATAATAGTAATTATGCGTTTACTGACATTGTTAATAACATTTGTTAGTTTGTGTTAAAACATCTTTAAATAAATCGTTAATTAAAAAACAAATAGTTTAACGTCTGAAATAATTCATCTTGATGTAGAAGAGTTCAGATTCTTTCTCCACTGGTCAAAGATTTCATTTCCTCTCAGTCTCATTTACAAAATCTCACAGATTTTCTCTGGGTTCAGATTCAGCAGTTGTTTTTTATTTCACTCAAACTTCCCTGCGGACTTTGAACCAGTCCCTCGTGTCCCAGCTGCCATTTGAATGTCAGCCGGTGAACGTACCTGTTTTGGGATCCAGCGATGTTTCCCTGCGGTGCAGCCCTTCTGGTCCAGGAAGGCGTTGAAGTCTATCGTCCTTATGCAGCAGCAGCTCCAGTACTTGTACCTGAACATGAAGACATAAGAAGTGAGCGTCTGCTGTTTTCAGAAAATCACGTACACGATCTTTTTATTTATATTGCAGCTTTAATGATTCGTGCTTTTCTTTCATGACGTTTTCTTTAGTTCAAATTCCTCCTTTGTAGAAATCGTCTAACTGAGGTTTAAAGTCTATAAATAATCTATGAGTGGAAACATGTGGTGCAGATTTGAACTTGTCTCTGACCCCTCGTGGAAGACGGGTGCACCGGGGTGGTGGGTGCAGACCTCCTTGTCTGTCTCTGGACCGTTAAAGGCCTGAAAACACAAACACAAGAGATCAGAGATATTTGACAGATTAAGTTTATTGTCCATCAGTCAAACTCTGTAAAGATCGTCTGCAGGACAAAAAATAAAAGTTCTCAATCAGCCTGAGACTTAATGTGAATAAATCCATGAACCAAAGTCTTCATGAAACAGATTCAAACATTTAGTTGTGACAATAAAAGACATTTTATTAAAGAATGTTATTTCTTGTCATGTTCTGTTCCCAGCCTCTTCCACTAGATGGTGCTGTTACTAAGCGTTAAAGGACTGAAGTGTGTGTGTGTGTGAGTGAGAGACAGAAAAGTAAAGGACGCTCACTGTTTTGCATCCTGGGTTCTTGCAGCGTGTTCCCTGCATCACAGTCTGATTCTCTGTCGCAGGAGAAAGAAAATCAGTGTTTGATCGCCGGAAGATTTTCTCACGTCTTTTCAGAACGTTTCTCTGAAACTTCAAATTAATTCACGAAGACAAGAATGAAATGTTTTCACCTTTCTGCTCCTTCTCGGCTCTGTTACTGATTTCCAGCTTCTCCAGAACTTGAACCAGAGACGCCGACACTTTCTGCGGCAATTTGGTCTTTGGCTCCTCTGAACTGTGCAAACACACACACACACACACACACACACACA